GGGCCACCGAGGTTCCCCCTCCACCCACCAAGCAGCCCTCCCGGGGAGAGGTTTTGGGGAGGCGCGTTGCGGATCCTCGCTGTTGAGCTCGAGGCGCGCGGAGATCCTCGCCTTCGCCAGCCCCGCCGCGAACTGAATGCAAAGTTTGCGCGCCGGCAAGGATCGCGGACTTGGGCGGGAGGCGAGGGTCGGGCCGGCCTCGTCGCTCCTCTCGGGGAGACCTGGATGTCGCCGCCAAGGCTTCCACCACCGGCGAAGGAGACCCGCCCCGATCGCCTCCTCCGGAGGAGGGGACCCAGCGGGGCAAGAGGAGGATGCCCGTGAAATTGACGCTCCGCCGGGTGAAATTGACGCGCCAGCCCCGACCGACCCGCCGCTTGGGCTGAAGCGAGGGGGACGGGGGAGGAAGGGGGGGGGCTCACCGGCTGCTTCCCATCCCCCTAACTCCTCCCCCACCCGGATTATTAATTTTGCATTCCCCCCCCCCGTTTTTTTCATTCAAAGGATTATTTTTAAAGGAACACGAAAATTGGAGAGGCGCCGGGAGGGCAGTTGTTTCTAAAAATACTTCCATCCCAGGAAAGGGGGGGAGGTAAGAAGAGGGCTCCGGGCGCCACACACCTGATGGTCGGGGAGGGGTCAGGGATCCAGGGGAAATAGATGAGTGGGGGCCATATTTCTCTTTCTCCCCCCCCCCCTTTGCTTCTCCCACTACAGGAGCTTGGCGTTGTTCTGCTGGCTTTGGGGGACTCCTTGAGATCTAGCAGCTTGAGCAAAGGAATCCGCGGCCACTGCGTGTTTGGGGAAGGGGGGGCGAGGAGTATGAAGGCGTGAGTTGTTGAGTTTGCAAGAGGTTTGCAGAGGAGGGGGAGATAGGCGCAGGGGGGGAGAGAGAGAGCCAACTCCTTGGATCGCCGGAAAGGTTTTTATTGTCTTCTCTTCTGGAGAACGTGGACCGCTGCAGCAAAAGCATCAGGTCCTTTGCAACAGGCTGGGGGGGGGGGCAGGTGGGTCGGTGGGCTCGATGTGAAGAAGCAGTGCTGGTCCTACCTTCTCCCCCTTGGCTTCCCTCTCCGGCTGAAGCTCTCCCCTCCCCTCCCATGGAGCCCGGCGCTTGTTGAAAAAGAATGACTTTCTCTGACCGGATTAATGCCAGCTTGAATGGGAACCACACGGGAGAGGCTGAGGGTGCCAATGGGTCCTTCCCCGGGGAGGAGGTCCACGCTAACAGCAGCACCCCCTTGACCCTGAGGCTGACCCTGCAGTCGGTGGGCGTCGGGATCTTCCTGGCCGTCTTCATCCTCTCGGCCATCGTGGGCAACATCCTGGTCATCCTGTCGGTGGCTTGCAACCGTCACCTGCAGACGGTAACCAACTACTTCATCATCAACCTGGCCATCGCTGACTTGCTGCTCAGCACCACCGTCCTGCCCTTCTCGGCCAGCCTGGAGGTCTTGGAGGACCTCTGGATCTTCGGCCGCATCTTCTGCGACATCTGGGCCGCCGTGGACGTCCTGTGTTGCACGGCCTCCATCATGAGCCTGTGCATCATCTCGGTGGATCGGTACATTGGGGTCAAATACTCTCTCAAATACCCCACCATTATGACCGAGAAGAAGGCGGTGGTCATCATGGTGGCGGTCTGGCTTTCCTCCATGGTCATCTCCGTCGGGCCTCTCTTGGGTTGGAAGGAAGCGCCGCCTGACGACGACCAACACTGCGACATCACCCAGGAGCCCGGCTACGCCATCTTCTCCTCCCTCTTCTCCTTCTACTTGCCCCTGGCCGTCATCCTGGTGATGTACTTCAACATCTACGTGGTGGCCAGGAGGACCACCAAGAGCCTCGAGGCTGGGGTCAAGAAAGAGCGGAGCAAGTCCATGGAGGTGGTGCTCAGGATCCATTGCCGCAGCGTCGTGGAGGACTCGGCCGCCAGCACCAAGGGCAAAGGGCACACCTTCCGGAGTTCCCTCTCCGTGCGCCTGTTGAAGTTCTCCAGGGAGAAGAAAGCGGCCAAGACTTTGGCCATCGTGGTCGGAGTCTTCATTCTCTGCTGGCTGCCTTTCTTTTTCGTTCTCTCTTTCGGTAAGTGAGACACTTCGGCTTGATGTTCACACTCGGAGTTGTGAACTCTTAATTCTTCCCGTTGGGGTTTGAGTGAGATGGGCTTTTCCCTCCTCTTTGGGCTGCTCTTCCGGGTTTCCTTAGAATTCAAATTCTCACCTATTTGTGGTGGTTGGCATGGTCAGCTCAAGTGTTGGGCTGTCAAGTAGACACCTGCCTTTGAACTTCCAACTTGGTTCTGGAGCTGCTGGTCAGCATTTGGCCTGCCGCCGGCTCTCAGCCTCCTCTGTCCACTCTGAGTAGCTGTCGCTTCTCTTCCGGAGTCACGGGGATCCCACCAAACCTCACAGCTTTGAGTCCGAATGAGATGAGGAGATTCATTCATTCCTGAGTCGTTGCTTACCAGGTTAAAATATTTGCATCCAAAGGTGACGTGGGATGTACAGTATTTTTAACAAGTTAGGCAAACCCAGTTATCTGTGTCCGTGTGTAAAACAAGAGTGGTATCTAGCCGTCTTCTCTTCCATCTCCTGTTTCAAAACCTGGCATTTAGGTGGCAATGTAGAGAACTGCAGTCCATAATAATAATAATAATAATAATAATAATAATAATAATAATAATAATAATAATAATAATAATAATAATAATAATAATAATAATAATAAAAAAGTTCCACATTCTGAGCAGCCAGCAGCTAGAAATGGGAAACGCCAATTCTCCGGCACTGCAGCTTGGTAACGCTTGATTTCTGTTCTCCTGAGACTTCGGGTACAATGGGGAATGGATCTTAGCCAGAAGGGTAGTTAGACCCAGGGTGGGAAGCGCCTTGCCTGCGGGCCAGTTATGCCCCCCTAAGGTCATTTTTGCAGCCCCCCAAGAGCCCTGCGTTATCACACACACAAAAATGGAGAAATTGCACCTCTGGAAGTCTCTGATGGGGTGACGGTCCTCTAAAACATTCTTCCGTCTTTCTGATCACTTCCGGTTTTGCCATGAAGGATTGGTGCAACTGCTGGCAGGCAAAAAAGGATCCCGCCAGAACTTTCTGGGGCCACCCATGCCAACTTTGGTTCTAGCTTTTACGGTCTCGTAGAATGGAGGACCCTGTTTAGAATCACAAATTGCAGGCTAGGAGCTTAGAACAGTGGTTCTTAACCTTGGGTTACTCAGGTGTTTTTGAACTGCAACTCCCAGAAACCCCAGCCAGCACAGCTGGTGGTGAAGGCTTCTGGGAGTTGCAGTCCAAAAACACCTGAGTAACCCGAGGTTAAGAACCAGTGGTTTAGAAGATGGGAGTGTGTGTTATTTTACCCGAAGGTGGCCATGCAGAGCAGCTTCTGTCTTCTTTTGCTAAGTCCCTGAAACTCTGGCTCAGCTCCTACACCAGTGGCGCATGTGGCTACAGCGTGTGGCTGCCCCCGGGCCACGCACCGGAAGGAGTATGTGCAAAGATCGTTTGCAGTTGAGAAATCCAAAAAGCGCGCCAAGGCATCCCCTGGCGGCAAAGAGTACTGGGTTTGCACCCTTCACACCGCCAACGGATTCTCAGCTGCCCAAGGTCTATGGCTACTCCATACAGTCTAGCTTGGGGCAGCTTGTGCAATACCAGGGTCATAAACCGCTGGGCTTTGTCCACTGGGCACAGCGATCCGGGTTCATTCTGATAAAGGAGAAGCTCGTGCCACTTTGGAGCAGACCGCTGTTGGTTTGTAAGATGATTCAGACACAGGCACATGGAACATTCGACCCAATTGGAGATGAGCTGCTGGACAGTTCAGGGGTTGAGGTCTTTGGCTGTGGAGCCAGAGGTTGGGAATCCGATTCCCCACTGGGCCTCCTTGAGAGGGGCTGGACTAGGGTCCCTTCCAATTCTGCAGTTCTAAGATGATGATGGTGGTGATTTTTAACTGGACAGGCAGGTACCTGCCAATCCAGACCCCAAGCTTCCCTCCAAGCCACCCTGTCTAAAGCTCGGTGTCCCTGTTCCAACCCATTTTGGCCCATAGGAGCCCCTTTGCTCTGAGTCTGCTGTGGAAAACAGGAAGGTAAACATGGGGGGAAGTGTTTGTTTGTACGTTCTGTCCTGTCTTGGTTTCAGTTGTGTGTCGTCAAGTCAGAACTGACTTCTATCAACCCTAAGAGGGCTTTCAAGGTAGGTGAGACGTTTAAGGCATGGCTTGACCAGTTCTACTTGCCCAGGGAGTTCCCGAGGGCCAAGCGGGGGATTTGAACCCTGTTCTCCAGAGTCCTAGTCCACTGCTCTATCCATTCCACCACACTGACAAGTTGTCGTCCTCCAGAAAAAGTCTCCTGCCACCAGGAGACAAGAGGTCCTAATTATAGTATTGCCATTAGGAATTGGACACAACTCTGATGTTTCAGACTCTGCAGCCTAGAGCGCCTTGACAACTTTCTGGGGACGGCACAGCGCCAGATGGGCATCTGTGCCAGGGCTGGCATGAGTCTCTCAGGCTATGGTGCCATTTTTCATGCGGCCCTTTCTTGTCTTCTTCAGCTTCCTGTGTATTTCTGGGATTAGCTCATCCGGGGGGGTGCATATCCAAGACAACAGAGGTGCATGTGATTATTA